TCAGAACCGGGGTTTGAACTCAGGCCTTTGCACTTGCCAGGGAAACGCTTATTCCACTGAGCTATCTCCCCGGTCCCCCTTTCCTGCTTTTACAGGGCCCAAATTCACTCTGCAGAGTCTATTTCTTTTTCTTTCTTTATCAAATGTAAAACTTTATTACCATTTGCACTTGTCTTAACCAATTCTTTATTCAGCAGAGAAAGAACCTAGAAACCAACTTTAGAAGGAGTTTCTAGGACCCTAAAGCCCAGTAACACTATGATCTAATTTGACACAGGAAAAAGTGGTCTTGAGAGTCCTCTGAGTTCTTCATTTCAGCAAAGGGCTGGGATTTTATTTACTAATATGCAGATGAAAGCCATTCTGGCCTGGGCACTGGCCCGGAACAGAGAATAAGTCGCTCTGCCCACAGCCTCTCCTTCGGCCCGTGGCCCCTGGGCCACACCCACCCTGGGCACCGGACAGGAAGGACTCACTCACCTGCACACAGCACCCACAGCACTGGCTGCATCTTTCTTTCTGCGGTCTTGCTCCCTCTCCACTCCAATTCCAACAGTGGCGCGCACCAACCTGTGGCCTGGCCAGCCTGAGTTCTCTGCAGTTCTTCTTGTCCTGTCCACCTCTGCCCAGACTCACCCACAGGCCCGCCCTCCTCTGAACTGGCAGGTGAGCTTGCTGATGGGGTTGGGCTTGTGCTCCACCTATTGCTGCGAAGGTCCCAAGAGGAGTCTTTCCTACTTTCCTCTGGAGCCAGTCACCTCTCTGTCTTCTTCCTAGTTAGCAGGTGTACAAAGTCCTGGGCCTTGCACTAAGGTGTGGGCCTCTCTCATAACTGACGGAAGCTGTTGCCGCTTATTAAGAAGATGGGATTCCAAGCGAGTAAAAGAAGGGCGTTGCTCACATTTGCTAAAACACTCTGAGACCTAATATGATTTGATCCACTTTCCTCCTGGTCTCAATCTCCTCCACACCAAGACAGACACACAGTAGTGGAAAAGACAGGAAGCCCTTTCCCCAGAGTTTATAATATGGTTGGAAACATAGCAAATGCCCAAGTAAACAAAGAAGATAGTCTTTGAGACAATGCAACCACCTTGGGGCAGGCAGTCTTACAGGGACTACCTAGGTTTTTAACCCAAAAGTATCATGCCCTGGGAATCACCTTAGTCCCAAGCAAATTAGGATGCTGTTCACCCTACCTGAAGTGTGATACATCCTGTGGGGAAGCCACTGGTGTCAGTCTCTTCCATAGATATAACATGTATTAGAGTATATCTCCTATCACTGTCTATAATGAAGGGTGTAATTTTTTTTTAGTTAAAATATTTCAGTGTCTTTCTGAGGTGCGATCAAAACTATGGGGACAGCTGCTTCTGAGTGCCACCCAGGAAAAAGGCAGGCTCATGAAAACATGATATTACATCCTCATCCACCTTGTTCACCTATCTGACATTGGGTGGCTCTTTCCCAAAGTCAGAATGACCAAGGAAAGCGAACAGTTGAGTCAAATGAGAACATCAAGACAGGCTTGACAACATAACACATTCACAAAAGGGGACTTCCAGAACCACTTCAGAAAGTGACAAGAGTGATGGGGTAAATGTATTCAAAACAAGGGGGAGGATTTTCAAAGAGATTCAATTACAACTTGTAACAAATCTTTAAAAGTTTAGAGAGTCACTGAATTTCTCAGACATACTTCATATAATACTACATGGTATTTCATTTTCTGACTCTGGATAATAATTCACTTGCCCATGTTCATATTAGGTTCTTGGTCTTTAGTTTGTTGATTTCTTGTAGATCTTTGTATATTAGGGAAACTATCTTTTGGATGTGATAACATTACAACTACTTTCCCCATTATTTCATTGCATTGTGGATTCAATATTTCCACATAAATTATGTTATCAATACTTTATGGCTACGAGGCTTGTTTGATATACAAAAGCTACTGCATTTTACTTAGCCATTTTATTGAGTTCTTTTATTGTGTGCAATAATTTTTCAGCCCTGGCCCTTTATGGTACTATTGTCAAATCAGTCTTCCTACCCTAATGCCCCAACAATGTCACTTCCCTGCTCTGGGGCTATCCCTGACTCTGCAGAACCTGACAAGTGAAATCTAGCTCCTTAAGTTGGTCTTTAGGCCATTCATGCATCTGTCTACAATGTAGACCACCTTCCAGAATGTGTAGTTTATGCTTTGACTCAGACATCTCTTCATACCCAACTCTCTTACTACTTTCCTAGCCTAAAAACTTGTCCGCTGGTCCTCTCTGGTTTTCCTTCCCCCAGTGTATCAGCCATTACAATCTAACTTGTCCTTTAGAAGCCAGCTCCTATGTCTCCATCTCTTCCATGAAGCCTTGCCTAACTTATTCTGGTGCAGGAGCTCTCTCCTCCTCTGAACTCACACAGCACTCTGGATCTCTTTTAGGGCGCTAACTACATTCTGTCTTATGCTTGGGTTATTTTGGACCTGTGTCTCATTGCTCTTAATAAATAGTGAGCTCAGTCATTCATTCAGCCAATCTCTAAGGATACTATTCCTGGGCATTGTTCCACCTAGCTAGGAACCTAAAGGTAACCTTAAGCTACTAATTTTAGTCAAGTACAGTGCCTGATGAATAGTAAGCAGTCAGCAAATATTCGCAAATGGGTAGATCAGTGAATGGATGAATTGAAGAATGGATAAGTAACTGGGATAGGGGAGGGAGAAAAAAAGGAAGGAATATACACATACATATACAAGATAGGTAAGATAATTTCACTATTAATTTCTATTAGTTCATTGAAGGGAACAGGTAGTGCTTATACTGTTTGATCAATTTTGCATGCCTGTACTTGGTAATTTGAGCAACTATTTTGAAGATAACAACATGTAACATAATAGACATTGTTAATTTCCTATCATCGTATTTTGAGATTCTGTACCCATTTCTTTTTATCTTTAAAACAATGAATGCCCCCAAGGTTTTGAAACAAAACCAAAAGGAGTAATTATAGAATATGTAGGACAAGAGGTGTGAACTACTGGGTTTTGTTTTGATCATCGTGATGGAGGCTGGAGTGTGGTGAGGCAGGTTAGGATGACATTCTGGAATTTTTATGCCACCAAGCCTCGTCAGTTATCTGTCACCAAGGACTATGAGTGGAGTACAGGTAGAGGATATAGAAAGGAAGTGAAACTTCCCAGTTAGCTGAAGTTTACTGAGAAGAGATATTTCTATTAAAAGAAATTTCACTGTAGGTACAAGAAATGACTTGTAGTTCCCTGCCTGTCTGTCTATCTATCTATCTATCTATCTATCTATCTATCTATCTATCTACCATCTATGGACTCTCCTGCTTCTGTGTGTTGGGATTTTTTTCTAGGTCTCTCTAAGCTGCCAGGAAGGAGGTGGAAGTACATTTATTTACTCCCTCTGACCTGTTCACTTAAATTGTCTTCTGGAAAACCTCTGAACAGGCAACCCAGGTGGAAGGATATGAAGAAAACAGCCAGAGGAAGCTGCCTCTTCTGGCCTCTTCATCTACAGAGGGTGAGGGTCTTCCAACTCCACTGCCAAAGGTCAGTGTCCAGAGAGCCAGGCAGGAGGGAAAGAGTTAAGTAAGGGAGGCCTGCTTTCTGACTGGTCCTGAGAACTACATTCCTGCCTGCCAGAGACCTGCCAGTCTGGGAGCTAGAGGCTAAATTTAGAGCATGGCTAAGATTTCTTGTTAACAGCTGTCCTGCCCCTCAGACACTAAGCTGAGGAGAGGAGCAAGTCCCTCTGTCACTGGTTGTGCTTCTGGTCACTTCATCTGGGACCTCAGCCCTGGGGTGGACGCACAGGCCAGCAGTGGTGAGTGTGTTTCCCCCTCCTTTTGTATCCAGGAGCCTCAACTCAGAAGGAAAGGGGTGGCAGCCTGCCTTTGGGATATCTGGGACCAGCTGTGGGAGACTCTGTGTGGCTTAACGGGCTGTGGGATGGCACTCGAGCACAAGGCCTTGGCTCTTGTGGCCTCCGTTAGAATCAGTGAGGAAAGCCAGTGCCTCCTCTCCCAGCAGAGACAACAGGTATGCACACTGGTTCAGTGTGAGTGTGCATACACGCCCAGGCACACCCTGTAATTTCAACAGAAAATCTTTCTAGTCAGAGGATATCAGTACCTTTCAACCTCTTTTGCTATGGTAGAGACTGGCTCTCCTCACTACTTCCTCCTGGAAACTGTGAGAGGAGCCAAGTTAGCCGTTCTTCCATGTTGTCTCCAAGATGGCTGCTAGCCCAGCTGGCACGAGATTCTTGGTGTCCTGTGAACAATAGCTGGGCTGGGTCCTTTACTTTCCCAGGTCCTAGGACCTGGTAGCCTTCCTATTCCCATTCCCATTCCCAAAGTGGCATTACAGACACGTCCTCTCACCAGACAAGACTCTGGAACCCGATTCCCTAACCACCTCTCTCTGGCCAAACCCACAGGCTGACAGGCCATCATGGCGACCAGTGGGAAGCCAGAGGAGGAGCAGGTGGTTCCAGGCGAGGAAGATGAAGCTGACGTAAGGGCAGTGCAGGCGCGCTACCTCCGGAGCCCTTCACCCAGCCAGTAAGTGTGTGTGGCCCGACTCTCATGCCGAAGATTGTGGCCAGTGCAGAGAGTAGGGGAGGGGGGTTAGTGAGGGGTGTCCCTGGGGACCCAGAGCCAGGGACACAGAGCCACCACCACAGCTTATGCATGCAGCAACATGACAGCGCATCTAGGTGTCCTGCTTTCTGGAGGAGTCAAGCACACTAACAACAAGATGCCATGGCAAATCTAGGTAATAGTACCTCTGGAGGCCAGGTGGTAGTGGGCCACAGCAGGGAGCAAGTGGACTTGGAAGGGCCACAGGAGGCTTCCTGAAGGTGAGGGTGTTGGCTGAAGCCTCAGAAGACGACTAGGGATTGGGCAGGCCTGCCCTTCAGGCTTCACTCTGAGGACTGGGGCTGAAGTGGGGTCCACAGGTCAGGGACCTATACTAAAGGGCTCAGGAGTGGAGAGGCCCATAGGACCAAGTCCTCGTAGGGAAACAATTTTTCCCCCATAATCTCAAGCAGTTTCATTTATACTGGAATCTAAGCCTGCCTGGGGGAACACTGCAGGCGTCCAGAGACAAATACATACCTTCCTGGGGAGTTCTCTTTATTTTATAGCAAATAATTTAAAACTTCCTTTTCCATTAAAAATATTAAAGATATGCAATGATGTAGAATAACAAATTGGTGTGATTTTTAAAAAAAATGCATAAGAATGAAGAAAGCCATTCTTCCTCATCTGCCAAAAACATCTGTGTATGAATGTGCCTGTCCCCTCTCCTCTGCTTTCGGTGACAGGAGAGACCTGACTTCTAAACAGAGCTCCTCTGTCACCAAATTGATGCAAAGAATTCTAAGTATCCATAGTCTGTTTGCCTTTGCTTTCTCTCTGTTCTCCAATGTACTACCTGTCTCCTTCCCTCAGGGTTCGAGGGCTTCCTCACTAGAGAAAGACGGGAGCCCTGGCACTTTGCCAGGAGGCAACTTACAGACTTCTTCCTTGTAATTCAGTTTACCTTTCCACTTAGAAATTAACTGTCATGATCGAAAGACTTAACGTGTATCCCTCCCCTCTTATACACCTATGTCAGGGTAGAGATAGCTTGTGTGTGGTTGGGGGTGACATTTTGTGTATTAGAATAATGCTGGCCATCAGATCAATCAGATTTTGCTTTCTTGCTGTAATGGATTCCAAACAGATACCTGAGCAAGGGACAGGAGCCAAGGCCCTTTCTGGCTTAGGGGCTCACAGTTTTAAAGCATGGCATCTAATGTCACTGCGCTTGTCAGCATCAAGACAACATGGCAGAGAGCACAGAGAGTGTCCCAGGAGGGTTTCATGGGCTGAAAATGGTTGCTTCCCTCCCACTTATATTCCATTGTGTAGAATTCAGCAAGGCCATGTTTTCTTGCAAGGAAGGATGGGAAATAAGCTCTGTGGAAAAGGTCCTGGATGTCCAGAAAAGAGGATTCAGAGTAATCTTGGCCACAACACACTCCTCCCACAGTTTATCTACATTATCTTTTCCCACTCATCGAACACACTCACTGCCTCCCAAAAGAAACACCTTCAAATCCCACATGGCAACTGCTGCATCTGTAGTGCAAGGGCCATGTTCTCCAGTGAGAGCCTCTTCTTCCTCAGACCTGAGTGCAACACCTTGTGTTCTGGCCACAAACCAGTCCAGGAAGTTCCCTTCTCACCAGAGAGGAAGGGGAGCTACAGCAGTTCTGGGATTCAGTCCTGTGAACCTATCTGCTCCATAGGTGGGGAGATATCTGAATTAACAGTGATGCAGCTCTTTGAAGGAACTCTCTCATCTCTTGCTCTCCTTGGCCTCTGGTCCTCCCTCTGGGCAACTTCCTGGTCAATTATGCTTCATAGCCACACCTGAGGTGGGGTGGGATTTCCCTTCTTCCTTGAAGATTGAATAACTTTTGCAGACTATGTCTTGCTCATGGAAATTTGGGGAGTCCAGTGTTGCTTTAAAGTTTATGCCTCCCACAGATTTTGTGTGTGTGTGTAGTGCAGCAATGGGTGGTGGGAAGGCTACTAGGGATTGAATCCTCATACTGATCTGTAGCCCCAGACCTCTTTCATTATTATTGAGATAAGATCTTGATAAGTTGCCCAGGCTGGGGTCAGTTTGTGATCCTTGTGCCGCAGGCCCCTAGAGCTACCACTTCCAGGTCCCAAAGGCTTTCTAGAAGTTCTTAGTTTCTGGGGCTGGGGAGATAGCTCAGTAGTCTTAAGCCCCTGCCTGGCAAGTACAAGGACCTGGGTTGGATCTCCGTACTGCATGCTGTGCCGGGCCCACTAGCCGGCCACCAAAACCGGGCATGGTGGTGCACACCTGTAATCCCAGCTCTGGGGAAGCTGAAACAGAGGATCACTATGAGTGCCAACTGGTAGAGACCCTATGCCAGATACATAAATTTAGAAAAAAGAATTTCTTAGTTTCTTTATGATCTCTTCCAAAACTCACAGGTTTCCCATCTATGTAGACCAGACCACCTACTAGGGTTAGTAATCACAGCTAAGGTTCTTACCTAGGTATAGGTTTTAGCTCTAATTCATGTCTTTCTTGTCTCAGCTTGATAGCAGTTACCTTTAAAGGTTAACTGAAACTGGAAGCTTGGGTGAGAGGTCCAGAATGTTGCAATTCCTGTGTAACTCTAGAAATAGTTACACCACAATCTACGACTAGTGCATAGCTCAAAAGCAAAACATGTGAATAAAACGCAATCAACTGGGCTGAGGAGATATCTTAGAGGTCTAAGCACCTGCCTGGCAAGTGCAAGGACCTAGGTTCCATCCCCACACGCCATGCTGCTGTGTCAGCCCCAAAACCCAGTGTGGTGGTGCACACCTGTAATCCCAGCCCCGGGGTGGCTGAGACAGGAGGATCACTATGAGTCTAACCTGTGTAGAGAGACCCTGTACTAAATAAATAAGTAAATAAATAAATAACTTTAAAAATACAACCAACCCTTCAATAAAGAAAGAAAAAGAAAGGAATACTGAAAAAGCACAATGAATAAGGAGAAAGTGGGATAGAAGGTTTAAGCCCAAATATATAAAAACTTACATTAAACTTAAATTCCAGTTAAAAGACAAAGATTGTGAGACTTTTTTTTTTTTTTGATAGTTTTATTGTGACAGGGCCTCACTATACAATGCATGTTGGCCTCGAACTTATGTGACCTGCCTGCTTCAGCCTCCCAAGTGCAGGGATTGCAGGCATGCAGCACCCAAATGCACCAGACTTAATTTTTAAGAAGTCCACACACTACTTAGAAGAGACACACTTTAAAAATATACAAAGGTCAAAGAAGAAAAGAGAATTTATGCTACTATTCCAGTTACTGTTGGTCATAATTTCAAAGTTTAAAGTCATAAAATAACTATTTTATCAAGGTGGTAATTAGGCCCCTGAGCAAGCACCAGGGGCTGTCTGGGTTTCTGAGTTACCTGAGGCCTCAGCTGCAGGGACCTGATGGATGGGACGACTGTGGGTCAGAGGCTGATTCAACAGTGAGGGCTGCTGTCACAGAGGCCTCTTCTACCCAGCAGCTCGCGGTGTGACTCACCTGGGATCTGGGCCAGAGCTGCTAGGACCATCTTTCCATGCGCTCACCCCGTGAAGACCAGGCTGGGCTTTCTCAAAACACGGCTGATAAATTCTACAAGTTCCACCCAAAAGAACAAGACCAAAGTGCACTGAATTTTCATGACCTGCCTGAAAAAATCACACCGTGCCGTGTCCCCTGTGCTCTGTTGTCAGAAGGTCCCAAAGGGAGGCCTCACAGGTCCTATTAGCCCACAGAGGAGTACCAAGGTCACATCGTAAAGGGGGAAGCAGGGTGGGAAATCCTGTGGTAGTCTTTGGAAAGTACAAGCATGTGTCTTAGAAACACAGATGAACACCAGCCAGTGGAGCTATACAGATAGCAGGCGAAGGAGATTTGACAGCTTCCTAGCGCTGAGGAGGGACATGTCATGGGGCTGAGAGTTCAGTCCACCAGAAGACATGACTATGTTAGAGAGCAACAAATATAAGGACTTCAAATTTTAGAAAGCAAAAAATTTGACAAAACTAAAGACAAAATTAAATCTCACAGTCTTAGTCAAATGTATATTTAACAAAACTATGTCCCTGTTCTGATAGAATGAGGAAAAAAAAAATCATCCAGAACATAGGAAGCTTGGGCAACACAATGAAGAAAACTAACCTAACTGACATTATTAGAACATGTACCCGGCAGTGGAAGGATACACATTCTTATCACAGGCACATGGAATATATAGATATATATTCATACATACATATTAGACTAGGAATACATTAACAAATTTCTTTTGACTCAGAAAAAAATAAGGAAAAAATCAGTGTGAAAAACAAAGTAAAAAATTAAATTCCAACCACAACTCCATACAACTCCATAGCCACCAGCACACTCAACAGTACAGACACTAGCAGTGCCAGTGAGGGTGTGAAGTGATCAGAAGGCCCAATCACTGCCAGTGAGTGTGCACAACCACGTGGCACAATTTCGCAGGCTCCGCTACAGCTGTCACACAGCTGTCCTGACCCAGCAGGCTCTCTCCTGACACACAGTGAGCAGAAACAGGCACATCTGTGCAGCAGCAGGTCAGGGCTGGGATGTTCAGCAGCTAGGAGTCATTAAGGGTATGGAATTTCTAAGATCAGGATGTGCTGACCAACTCACTCTAGGCTAGACAAAGTCTGGTGGCTATCTTTAAAAAGACAGCCCTAAGGACAGGCGTTTTGTGAACTGTCTGTCACTTTGGTGGGATTGAGCTTCTCAGATTATTTGTTGGGGAAGCAATTAGACAGTACAAGCACAAGTGGCTGGGGTCACTGAAAGGGCATGTAGGAGGCCCTAACATTAACCTGCCACAGGACAACAAGGCTTGGTTAACTGGTGTGTGTGTGTGTGTGTGTGTGTGTGTGTGTGTGCTGTCACTCAGCCCTCAGCCCTTCCATCAGCCCTTCTGCCAGCCCACCT